TACATTAAACAGGTGACTAAAAGATTTGCAATCCATTAACAGATTAACACACAATAGCTTTCTGTGGAACAATGTCTAATTTATATTCTTCCTGTTTTCCAACCCAAAACTTTAGAAAATGCTTTTCAAGCTTCAATTCTCTCTTTTAAGTTCTCATTTGTGTAATCTCTACCTATCTTGGTGAGATAAATATTAGTCTCAAAAGCAGTATCCAAGTAGCTAGATTGACAGAGGAACAAAATTAAAAATTTGCTTCTTCCTTTAACTCTTATACACTCTGTGATGGGGCTATCCATCACAAGTGAGCTATCTCAGGATTGATCACGAGTCTGGCACAATGTAATTACTGAACCAAAAGCATTGTATTATATAGCATGAAATGAAATAGCAGCTTTGCCTTCCACATTATGAACCTGTTGACTAATGATGGAGTGTTGCAATTAGAAAATATGGAAGTAGCAAGACAAGGTATTTCACAGTCTGCTAATGTATAGAATAAAACTACTGATAGTGTGAAGCAGGGAAATTAAAAACAATAAAACTGGAACAGAAAATAACAATGGTACTCTTAATAATCTGTAAAAGGAGAGAATGGAAGTGTCCTCTAAAGTAGGTCAAGTTTAAAAGGATTATGTGCAGTGTCTGAAAAGGGCTTCTTCTGGTCTTGTGCCAGTGGACCTATTTTTTTTCTAGTATGTTTTGTGATGGCTGAGAACTGTTGCATTCATTGGCATAGTAAGCATGACCTAGCATCAGGACACTTTGCTTTACGAGATCAGGAAGGAAAAATGAGCTACCTCAGCCCCATTGCCCTTCTTGACTCCCATTGCATGCTGCATGAGAGGCAAATGGCTAGATCGTTGTGTTGCTGCTACATCACCTGGTGATACCTAGCCAAAAGCACCGGTGGTGTAGCTAGTGGTTTGAAAAAATAATTGTTTTGATACAAATTGACTAAAAAAAAAAAAAAGAATGAGAGGAAAAGATGAAGTACTATAAGTTGCTCCAAGTCCTTATGGAAAGCGTTCTTCCCTGCCTTTTCCTATTTGCTTGGAGCAAGCATCTTCAAACAAGTTGATTATCTGAAAACAAACAAAGGGTGGGCATTTATTATAAAATGCAATATTTTTTATTTTATTCTCTCTTTAGTTAAAAAACAAACAAACAAACCTGGATTAAACTCTTTCTATAGTCCTAATACCAGCTACAAGCATTCTGAATCCTTGATGCAAAACACCATTGCATGTAGTAGTATTTTTTGACACTCTCTGGCTAATTCACTAATTGATTTTAGCAATAATGGAGAAAAATCAGTCTTTCCTCCTCCCTCTTCTCCCACCTAGCACTTCTGTCAAGGCTCCTGATTGACATGGAGTAGAATTTTTGAGGGTATTTTTGTGTTTGTCAAATATCAGCCCTAGGTCTGACTCCGTCTCCTTGGAGAACTCCACGCCTTTCTGAGGGGAGCTTCTGGGGGAGGATGAGCCAGAGAGGCAGCTGATATCGCTGATGCTTTTTTGTGGCAACTGCATCAACAGTTCTGTGAAAAGCTGAAGAAACACGAGTTGCTAGCTTCTGTTCCCACTTGCAAGGAGGATTTCAGAAACCCTTACTCTCCTGGCTGATGCCTCCCTGAATAGTAAAGACACCTTGAGGTGATGACAATACTAATTTTTAGTGTGAGAGCTTATGAAATCCTAAACATCCCTTATTTGCCTTAATGATAATTTAATAATTTATCTTAATAAATTATTTTATACCTTGTGTACACATTGCTTGCAGCATCTCTTTACATACAATGCAAATTGCTCAAAATGTCCCAGAAATAACAAGACTACTTACTCAAGGGAAAGAAGTTGCCTTTGAATCCTACTGTGCTTTGTCAGCTGTGTCCTGTTGGGAGCATGGCTGCTGTTCATCCTGGGCTGTTCTTGGGGACTGTATTTACAACCTTACCCTATGATCTCCTCTGGCTATCGGTAGAACACTGTTAAGCATTAGCCAGCCTGTCTCCAAACTGCATTGTGAAAACACCTGGATGCACACTGCTTCTTTTCATTAATGTCTTAGCCAGGCACAACTTGGTGGGACCCATGGTTAATAACAGACAGTGAGAAACTCTCTGAGGTAGCTTTTATTTTACCTTTGTTATTTAGTCTTCTGGCTTTAAAATTACAGGCTAGAAACCTCTTCATAGAGTCATGGACATAATGGCATTTACAAAGGTCTCAGCACGTGTTCCCACTGCAGGACCAGAAATCAGATGGCACACATGGAGTCTGCGAACTGCTGCCTTTGGCAGCAGCTGTGAAGCTGCATGCTGGACCTCAGGCCACTCACCTTCCCTGTTCATAAATTCCCATGGGGGTCACAGAGCCATGAGATCTGACATCAGTGCACCAGAAAAAACCTCAATAAAGCAGCTTAAAATGAAAATGGGATACTTCTCTATCACCAGTTTCACCTGCCTCCCCTCTTACCAGATGTTTGATCTTCACTCCTCTCCTTTTTTTTCTCCAAATACTTTCCTCTTCCTTCAATAGCTGTGGTTTCCCCCTTGTCTTTAACCTCTTCCCAGTCTGGAAAAGTAACTCACTACTTAAAATCACAGGCCCTTATTTTAAGCAGGACTACAAATATCTCTCTCTAGCAGAGAAATGAGTTTATTTGTATGTCCTATCTTTGGTAACATTTACATGGTTGAAATCTTGCCCTTAGGCTTTGCTGTCAGGATCCTATGTTGGTGAATCAAGCAATTGAGGTTTAAGAAATTGCAGATTAGTATTTAAAGATACAACATTTAAATTCAAATTATCAGAAAATGACTGCATTTTCATTATTTAAAAAGTAAGCTATAAAATTGATGTATAAAACTCTATAATTTTCTCTAAATTTTATGATGAAACCATATTTTCAATGATTTATCATGATACTTAATTTCATCATTCAGTATTTTCCAAGAGGTTTTCTATAACCAAAGGATGCATCATTTCCCTAGGAGGCTGAATAGTTGTTAGAAAATAATTGCTTATATACTGCACTATTAACATTTGGAGAAGTGTTCAAACTTCTGAAACAATTCAGGATTCAGAAATGGTTCAAGTTTATCTATATATTTTTCCCTGTAACCTTTAATGCTCTTGGGGTGTAACTCTGAAGGTGTCCAATGTAACATACAAACCATTATCCTAATGAATAATTCATACAGTTGGAATAAAACATGAAGACAGAAGTACTGGAATCAAGCAGCAGCTCAACCACCTGTCGAAACAGGAGCCAGATTTGCTCCCTCCAGGTCAGATACTTCTTACAGAGAAAACTGTAGGAAGGTTCTCTCTGTCCTGGTCTGGTATTTCTGGTCACTGCCTCTTGCAGAGCTGGGTATGATGCCCCTTGTTCCTACCCACCTTGTTTGGCAGTGAGAATAGTTATCTAGAAAATTGGTCATCCCAGGATAGAGCAATCATAAAATCCATGTTACCCCACTATCTTGGTCAATGCTCTACGCACTAGAAAATCCTGACAAACCTCCTGAATTCTGCTTCTCTCGTATTTTAAAAGCAAAAGATAAGTAATTTCTCCAAATCACAGAAAGCTATTTTAGTATCAATTTGCTTGATACGTATCAGGGAGCTAAAACTGTCACTTTCATTCAGTGTATTAGATTTCCATGGCAAGGTCTTGGTAGCAGGAGGTGCTACAGTGAGAAGCTGCCAGAAGCTTCCCTCACGTCCGACAGAGCCAATGCCAGCCAGCGGCTCCTAAACAGACCCGCCACTGGCCAACGCCGTGTCCATTGGCAACAGGGGTAGTAACTCTGGTATAACATTAATTAGAAACGGGAATAAGCTACCGAGAGAGGAGGGACAATATGTGAGATAAAAAGCCCTGTAGACACCAAGGGCAGTGAAGGCGGAGGAGCAGCAAGTGCTGCAGGCACTGGAATAGAGATTCCCCTGCAGCCTGTGGTGAGGCAGATGTGCCCCTGCAGCCCATAGAGGCACATCATAAAGCAGAGATTCAACTGGAGCCTGTGGAGGAACTCCAAAACAGAGCAGATAGAAGCACCTTAAGGAGGCTGTGACCCTGTGGGAAGCCCACACTGGAGTAGGCTGGCAGGTCCTCCTGGCAGGACCTGTGGCTCCATGTAGAAGAGAGCCCACTCTGGAACTGGTTTGCTGGCAGGACCCTCCAGGGGACCCACACTATAGCAGCCTGTTCCTAAAGGACTGGACCCTGTGAAAGGGACCCATACAGGAGCAGTTCATGAAGAACTGTAGCCTGTGGGAAGGACCCATGTTAGAAAAATTCGTGGAGGACTATCTCTTGTGGGAGGGACCCCATGCTGGAGCAGGGGGAACACTGTGGAGTCCTCCCCCTGAGGAGGAAGGAGTAGCAGAGACAGCATGTGATGAACTGACCAGAGCCCCCATTCCCCTGGACTGCTCAGGGGGAGGAGGTACAGAAAATCAGGTTAAGGCCCAGGAAGAAGGGAAGGCTGTGGAAAAGATGTTTAAAGATTTGGTTTTATTTCTCATTACCCTACTCTTATTTGATTGGTAATAAGCTAATTTCCCCAAGATGAATCTGTTTAGCCTGCAACAGTACTTGAGGAGTGCTCTCTCCCTGTGTTTATCTCAACCCAGGAGTGTTTTGTTATATTTTCTCTACCCTGCCCAGCTGAGGAGGGGAGAGAGAGCAGTTCTGGGGGGGGGCACCCGGCATCAAGCCACCATCAGCCAACCACATTCAGGAAGAAAAATTTCAGATACACTTCCCCCTGGGGCATTTCTATCTAGCTGGTTGGTGTCTCCTTCCCTTTTCCTTTCTCAAGTAAGTGCTGGTTGATTTAAGTTCAACTCTGAGGGGTCTCATCTCTCTGATTTACTACACAGAGAATACAGGCACCAGCAACTTTGGGGTGCTGCAGTGCTGAGTACCCAGGTTTCTCTTCAGATGTAGCCTTCTCCCTCTGTTAAGAAAGACAGTCTCAAGAGCCATTTTGGAGTGTAGTAGTCAAATTTATTTCCACTGTAGAAGCACACTTGTTTCAGTAATAAAAAAATAACATTTTCTTTGCAGAATAAGAGTAAACCTGTAGTGGTATAAATATATTTACTTGCACAAGAATTCACATAAGTCACTCAACATATATTTAGACTTAGTATTCTCATAATCCTAAATTTCAAATGGAGTCAACAAAAGATAGCTACTTGGAGAAAGATGAGAAATGTGAAGTCTGGCTCAGTTTGGATTTAAACATATATGAAATAATGGAAAGCTTCCTTCCTTGATGTTTTTTCTGTTAAATGAATACATTTCTTATGAAAAATATCGACAGCCTTCAGCACGGATTATTTCTGTTTGTCTAATTAAAATATACTATATGGTGTCAGTCACAGAAGCCTCTTCTGGCTGCCTTGCAGACATGACCTCAGTGCTGGCCAGGTAGAACCAGCAACGAGCATGTCCATGTTCAAGCTCAGTGCTCCTTAGCCTCTGCTCAGCCTGTGTGTCTCCTCTCCTGAGACTCCCATCACCAGCTACTGTCTTTCAACGAACAAACCAGGTATTTCCTTCAGCAGGTCATCACAGACTCACCAGACAGTGATCAATCAGTAAATCCCTGTGCTACACTAAGACAGGTGCTATATTCCATATAGCATTATTAAGAACCTGGTGAAACCAAACATCTAGCTCATAGTAGGTATGGTTGATGTGTAACTTTATCTAGTATGAATACTTAATGCAAAAGAAACAATATTATATTCTGCACTCTCATTCAGTTCAAGCCATGGAACAACAGTACAAACAACTGCAACAAATTTAACTTGCACTTTAACTTCTATAAAACTCTTCAACTCTTTTTCCAATTGTGGGGGCAGGAAAAAAAAAAAACAACAAAAAAGGGGAAACTAAGTTTAATGAATCAATCTCATCATGACTCTGTATTACTCTGTTCTGCCTAAATTATACTTCGTTACCATATGGGAAATTGTCAGCACCATGTCCTCACAACATATGTTGATTTATTCCCATCCTTCCTTACTGTTACTACAGTGAAAAACAGCATAAGGTTCAGCCCTGATTCTCCCCAACATGTCTACAAGAGGAGGACACCAAACTAATACAGCACAATACTGGAGACAAGAGAACATAACACTTAGTTCTGATACACTGAAAAGCAACTTCACACATTAACTCACTTATGCAGGCACACGGATATATTGAGCACCATTTTTTTTCAGTTTAACATAATGTTCAACTCTGAACAGAAAAATGTTTAGCCTCTAGGACAGTTTCAGTATTAAGAAAAGAACTACCTCTATTTTAGAAACATCAAACCACTAATGTTGACACTTTAGTTGAGAAGTTCACTGCAAGTGACCCTCTCTCTGAATTCGAAGGCGCTCCTTCTCCACTTGCAAGCGTTCCTTCTCAATCTGCAGCTTCTCTGACTCAAACTTGAGAAACTGCAGCCTCTCTTTCTCTAACTGTAAACGTTCTTTTTCAAGTTTTAACTTTTCAGTTTCTAGATCCAGAGGCTGTATGATAGGTTTTTCTGTTGGGGTGAGGTCATTTTCCAGGGCAGGTTTTTCGGATTGCAGAGTCTCCAGCCTGAGTTTCTCCCATTCAATCTGAAGTCGCTCCTTCTCAATCTGAAGCCTCTCGCGCTCCAAGTCAACGTGCCGCAACCGTTCCTTTTCAATTTGCAGGCGCTCCTTCTCCACTTGCAACCTTTCGGCTTCAATGTCTAGTCGCTGTTTCTCCAGATCCAGCTTTTGCTTCTCCAGATTTATAAGCAAATGAGAATCTTCATAGGCTAGCCTAGCTTGAGCAGAGCTTAGATTTCCAAACTCTTCAATGTGGGGGAAGTCTGGTAGGTCATTTTCCTTTTTTGAATCTGGTAAAACTGATGACAATATTTCTTCCTCTTCCTCAATAGGAAACTGCAGAGGAACATGACAGAAAAGAATTACTCTCCAGTCTTTATGCCGGAATAAATGTGTTACACATGACTGAAAAGAACATATTGTGTTTTTTCATCTTTAAAGCTACTCAGAACTGTTTAACTCGCATGTTGTGAAATAACCATTTCAAATCAGAAAATTTTTCTATCATTGCACAGGTAGAGAAACACACTTTATCTGCAAGTTAATACTTGGTAATGAAAAATGCAAAATCAGTTTGTCAGTGGACATGCAAGAACATACAGAAACACATGGCACAGTTATTACAGATCATTCAGAACTACTGATAGAAAAATGGATCTACGAGACCATATGTTGTTCTTACTTTTCATAGACCTGAGTGACATTTAGGGAAGCCACTAGGAATTTGTTGTGACTAATTATTTATCAGACCAGATGGATTCATAGGCTGTGTGGTAAGTAAGCTAACCCAACCTTCACTAAAGGATTCCATTTTTTATGAAACATTTAACACTGACATTTTTCACATGCTCTTAACCCTTCCAACTCCGTTAAGTGGGTCTATACACAGGACTTTAACCGTTCTGTGTTACCACATTTGCTGTAAAGCTATTTATGATGCAGATGATGAGATGGTTAGGATCACTGCTCTCAGCAGAAGATAGACACTGTTCTTCAGCACTGTCTGACAGTAGTCTCACTACCATTTAACAGCTTCTGCTGATTTTTTCCCAGCACATATACTGACGGAGCTAAGACAGGAGCTGCTTCCCCACCCTTCTCACTTGAGAAGAAAAAAAAAAAGGAAAACTGTTTGAATACCCCTTTTTGAAATGAGAACTATATATTTGTAGAGGCACAGCAAAACTATCCCAACATTTGACTTGACTCCAGCTGGCTGCCTTCCCCAGGACAGTCACAGTACTACTAGGAGTAACAACCTGTCTAGAGAATCCACAATTGCTTGTCAAATTCACACTAAAATTCTGAAAGAGAAGAATGGCCAACTGACTTATTCAAGTAATGGTTTCATCTCCTGTGGGTTCATTTTAAGATCATGCAAACAGTATTCTATTTCTTTCTGTACCTGCAGGTAACATATACTTCCATTTGTTAAAGAAGTGCACTTTTCTTCTCTGTTCATCCATCCAGACAGCCTGAATATTACAATAACCAGTTTCCTTAAAGAGCATATTTTCATTCTACTGACTGAACTAATTCTTATCTGTGACACATACAAATGGAAAATACATGTGCGAAGACATATTCCAGCTTTAGGTATATCAATTCAATAATCAACATCCAAGACCTACACCCAATTCCAAGTTGCTAGATTTGAATACCACCTCTCTGAAATATATTTGTTTCTACAGTTTCTTTAATTCACACATTCAGAAAAAAAAAACAGAAACAGACACTATAAAGAAACACAGTAGCCTTATGCTGAAATGAAACAAAGGCCATATTGCACACAGCTAATGCATGTCAGTCACTCACTTCGAAATTCTGCGGATCCTCCTCTTCCTCTTCTACTTTGATTTCTGTTAAAGATCCACCAGCTTCTCTGAAGTCAGTGATATTTTGCCATTCAAAACTAGATTCAATTGCAAATCCCATTTTCTCATCCATGTCTTCATTGAGAGAGTCATCTAAATTGGATGAAGGAAGGTGAAACCCAGCACCTACTACTTTGATGTTTGCATTCAGACGTTTTCTCTTCATGAGTGCTCTCCAGTCAAGGTATCGCCTTTTCACTTCTGTCCCTGTTCTTTGCTCTCCTTCACCTACAGCATTGACACACTCTGCTATTTCCTCCCAAGCTTTCCGTTTCATCTCATTAATTGTTGTATTAAGTTGCTTTGAAAAGAGTACTTCTCTCCTTTTTCTGATTTCCTTAAGGAGAGTTTGAGTTTCCTGAACACTAAAATTGCTTTTCCTTTTTCTTTTTAATTGTTTCATCTTTTCCAGCTTTAACCTAATAATTTCACCACAGTAGACCACAGAGATGATCTGACACTAGTCAGCTATTAATATAAATAAATTTAGAAGCCAATGAAAGCAGAGCTCAGTTCTCGTGAAGTGAATTTTCTCTTCACTTGTAGTATTTTTCTATTTGTCAGGCTTCCTAAGAGAAAAAGAGCAAACAACATAAATCTCCAAGGTATACACTATATATTTTCATTTAGCAACTTGACTCCTAAGTCATCATTTAAGGAATACATATTTTAAGCTGACTGTTTATTTGATAAAAGAAAACCATTCTCTTAGACTCTGAATATAAAGTAGCCATCGATACCTTCTCTAATGTCCCATGAATTACACAACCATTAATATATCCATGTCATGAACTGTTATAGTTGATTTGATATTTCCATTACAAAAATACAACTATTTTCCTTCAACTCTTAAGAGTTTTGCCAGTCAGGATTTGCTTAGGACTGAAATTTGACATACACATTTCAGTTTGAATACTACATTATTTCCAAAAGAAGCTGAAATTGTTATATCATTACTTCAAAATCATCAAGCGTGTAGGAGACTGAAATTTCTGAGACACATTTTAAATGAGACACCATTTCCATAAAAAAGTAGATTAATATGGAAAATGGAAATTTTAGAAGCTCTTCCGACTTATCTTAATCAGAAATAAAATAACCGAAGCAATCCTGTTTAATGTCATAAAATTACTAGCTCAAACAACTGTCGTGCATGAGAGATATTTTAACAGTAAACAGATTTAAGAATAAGTCACTACATGCAGCTCTGTCCTTCTTACACTGTAAAACATGTCAGATGCGATGGCAGCTTTAAAGTTCATTCAGTTCTCTGCCCGCAGCAACAGCTGGTCCTGCCCCTGATGCTGAAGAGAACACTAAACCCCATAAATACACCTGACAAAAATGGTTCATGGTCACAGATTGCTTGGTAATGGGTCCAATTTAGGATTATTTTGAACAATCATTTGTACCGTCTTATCTACCACTGTACATAGGTTTAGAGGCTTTAAACCAAGCAGGCCAGGGACTTACCATACAGTCCATACAGTTTCAAGCTGCTGTGTTTGTTCACTGTTCATGCAGTATAGACATTTGTCCACCTGAAGGCAAATGGCTTGCAAACTATATATTCAATTGCTACTGACTGATGGACTTAACTCTTATCCCCCCCCCAACCCCCTCCCCAAGCTACACAGGATTCTTAACTTACTAAGCATTTTTTCTCCTGTTATTCTCCCTAAACTTGGTTAAAACATACACATCAGCACAACACAACAACTCTCCATTTGGGGGATAATGTAGTGTAGATATTGTTATTCATCTCGTATGCATGGCTGACTGTCAGTAAGTGACTCACTTGCAATTTTCCATGTCAAGCAACATCTTTTCATATCCAACATGCAAGCATGCTGCCATCAAGTATTTTTTAAAATGCTGCATTTAGAAAACCGCTTTACTACTTTTCGTCATTACAATACTGTTCTCACTGTCAAGCCACTTACTTCCAATGATTACTAGCTAGCAAATATGCAAAACCAAGTCCCAAGAGGAAATCAATTGCATAGCATGAGCATGTATTAGCATACACCAGTCCCCAGTTCTGCTATGCAGCTACTCAGCACTTTGGACTCCTCAGACTCAAGCAGGAAGCTGCATGTTGCTGTTTAGGATGTGTGAAATATTCTACCCTTCTGAAAATAAAATGCTAGTTGGTTTTGAGAAAAGGGAATTGTTTAAAAAATAATGTAATGTAGTGCTTTAATGCAGACCCCTAACTTGAAATGACCAGTAGTGAAAAAAATGTTGTCAATTTAGAAAATCAGATTCATACCAGAACACAGCACTGTACCTGCTAAAATTACATAATTTTTTTCTGAGACCTTTTATCTGATCTTTAAGCATATCCCTTAATCTTGATTATTATAAGCTTATCACAAAAAGATATCAAGAAAGCAGAATCATATTTACTTCTCTGTCAGTAAATCAATTTATTTGGTACTTGCTGAGCTTTTCAAATGCAAATTACAGCAGTAGTGCTTTACTGTTATTATTGTAACTGAATTTCTTGACTTATGCATGAAATTCTAAGTTTATCTTGTGTAAAGTCTTGGGCTGTGGGATTTTTTTAAACCTTTTGATAAGTCACTGAGGAAGTAAATTCTTCAGGAAAGTTACCTGCACACAGAACAAATTTAGAACACTTTTATAATCTTCACCATTTACAAGGCAATTATTCTGGACTGATAAATATATAGTGATTCCTGGTTACTGGGGAATGATCAAGTACTCGTATCTTCATACTGGCTTTAGAAACACATACATTTGCACTCACCTGTTTTCAAGGTGGGGAGTGTGTGTGAAAGATACAGAGGTATCCATCCAGGTATAAAGAATCACATAGAGTACTCAGGTACAACATAAGTTTCACAAGAATGACAGTATTTCTGACTTGTCACTACCAGGACATTAAATCTCTGTTTACAAGGTCACACTTATCTCCACTGAAATCAGTAGAATTTCAGGTTTGGTGTTAAGTAATACTTAAGGGAACACTCAAGTACTTTGCTGACTATGGGAAAATGGGTCAAACTTTCCTAAGTACTCGCCAGTTGGGTACATCAAACTAAACTCTTGAAAGTACCAGTAGATACTTAATTTTCTCTTAAGATTCTTAAACAGCAGACTTTTAATCTCAAGGTATATATGGCTAAGTCCTTTACTTAGCCCCAGCTATGTGGAAAAGGTTCTGGTCATTCCCAATAACAGGGAACCACAAGATTTTAGAGACTCATATGGTATCTCTAGTTACCTTGGCCCTCCCTAAATTTCTCAAAGTTAGTACAGCAGGCCGATATGGGCACAAACACAGGAAAAAAAACAACACCTCGGTTTTCAAATCAAATTTTCATCATCTTCTAAATATAGTTCTACATGAACACAGAAGATGTAGACAGGTAAGCTTTGTCCTTAGCCCCAGAGAAGGTTGAGAGTTAAAATACACAAATGTCAGGTTACCCTGTGGGTCAGCCTCACTGCTCCTTGTGCCAGCGCTTTCCACCACCTGACTGATCTCCCTAGCCACTCTTCGTGAAGTGTCTAATCTTGGTTTTGGATTTTATGCTATAAGCTAAAGACATGACCTTTAAGAACTACAATACTAACTTGGAAACTACTGGCATCCAATTCCTTTATTAGGTAAAGTTTTATTTTAGACTTTTTTTAATTTTTGCTTGAACAGGTCTGATACAAGCCCTGAATCTCCCAGTGAAACATCAGCAAAACCTATCTGTTTTAAAACACATAACTACTAACTTCCAATAGCAAAGGACATTTTGCCTTTTCTAACTCTTTCCTTTTTAAAAGTACATGGCCTCATTAAGGACAATTCCCATCTTATTAATATAAATGGGTGTTAGCAAATTGTTTTAACAGTGTACTTATTCCCAGGGATGGTTCAAATCCACTGTGGCACTGTGTACCTTTCTGATATATTAACTATAAAGCCTTATTATCTAACTAAACCTGAGGTTTGGGATATTCAATTTTCTGACACTGCTAGATAGTCTCCAGGATATTACTCTTTAATGCAGAAAAATGAACTATTACATGCTCGAAGTACAAAAGAAACAGGAATGGCAATAATCTAGGATTTGTACACATTCTAGATAGCTACCCTACCCCACTTCGAAAAGCTTGATTTACAAAAACATGACATACAGCACTGTCCTGGTTTCAGCTGGGATAGTGCTCTGTTTTGGATTTAGTGTGACAATAATGTTGATAACACATTGATGTGTTGGTTGTTGCTAAGCAGTGCTTAGGCTAAGTCAAGAACTTCTCAGTTTCCTGCGTTCTGCCACTAAGGAGAATTATAAGAAGCTGGGGGGAAACTGCAAATGCAAACTGCGTATCTTTACAGTTTGTGCAGAAATGCAAAGTGATGACTAGGAAAAAAAAAAAGAAACAATTCTGATTATACAGTAACAAAGATTTCAAAGGTCTTCCAGAAAAGATGGCAACATGGAGCTACAAGTTTCAGAGTCCTGTCACGTCAGAAGCAGCCCAATGTCACAAAGGTCCTCATCGCTGGACTAAAGAAACATAAACTATTTGTCAGAGTTGAAATGAAACAAGTATTGTAAAACTAAGCTGCAAACTCCCTAAGCAGGCAGAACATACACATACTGAATATCTTTGACATACTTAATGGCAGAGGCATCCACATTCTGCCTCTGTCTTTTCTGTCTCCTTTGTTCACACCTTATTGTCTAAGTGCTAGACCAAAAAAAAAAAATTAACCAACCCTCCCAAAATAAACAAGGAAACAAAGAAAAACATCCTTGCATTCACCAGGACCGAAGGACTGCTGCTAGCATCAACAGTCTTAGAAGTATTCTATAGGAAAATCATGACTTTTTTAAACACGATGTCTTGATAGTCCCTTTATTTATTTATTTATTTATTTATTTAACTTTCAGGGCTTATACTTGAATAAAAAAAACAAAGTTTAAATTAGGAGGACCTGCTACTTCTAAGTTTTTTTAAACAAATTCGAGAGTCTGAGTATCTTTGGATACTACAGCCTGGGGATTTCTAGAAAACTTTGTATGTGATTCCCAACAGATGGCTACGTTGACTTGGTGCAACTTAGGGTTTTTAACAGAGAGGCTGAGTGCTGGCCAACACATCCCCCCTGCAAAAAGCGCGCGGTTTGCGCACACGAAAAGGCACGCAGGGGAGGGAACCAACACCACCTAAAAGGACCGTTTAACGAGGCACAGAGAGGAGAGAGGCACAGAGAATGAGAGGCAGCTGTATATTCAGGCTAATGAATCCAGAGACTCATCAGGCTGACATTCCCCTTCCTCCGAACCAGTCGCGGCCACGAACGGCACAAAACCGCTCCCCGGCGGGGGGCGCGTTCCGGAGGGACCGGTGCGGGCACAGCCCCGGGTGAGGCGCCAGCTCCGGCCCGGTCCCACCCGAGCGCTGCGGGGAGTGAGCCGGCAACAAAAGAAGGCGGGCCCGCCTGCCCCAGCCACTGAACCCGGGAGCAGAGGCGGGCAGCAGCTGCCACCAAGGCCCAAGAAAGGCAACAAACGCCGACTTTCCCAGGAAGACGAACGGAGCCTCCCCGCGGGGAGAGAAGCGGAGGACAAATCGCCGTTGCCGCCCCCAGGGCCCAGAGCGGCAGAGCCGCACCGCTCTACCCCTACCGAAGTGCCAGGGCTTGCCCGCACACTGCTGAGGCAGCGGCCGCCCCATCCCCGCCCGGTGCCGCCGCCCGCACCGCCCCGCCCGGCCCGCCCGGCCCGGTCCCGGGGACGTACTCCCCGCTCACCTGCGCCCTGGCGCTCTCCCGCCGGGCCGCCGGCCCTTTAACGGCCACTGCCCTCCCATTGGGCAAATCGCCTGTCTGTCAGTCTTCTCCGCGCGCTATTGGCGGATTCGGCCCGCCGCTCTCCCCGCCCCGGCCGTGACGCGCCGGGCGGGCCGAGATCCCCCACGTCCCCCGCCCGCGGGCCCCGCGCCGCGCCCGCACCCGGACAGCCATTGCTACTAGCCGCCTCGTCTTCCGCAGACCGGCTGGTGATTGGCTGCGGAGGTCACGGCCCGCCCTCCTCAGTAGAGACCTCCGCGGGTCACGCGAAGTCAGGTGGGTTTGGTGTCCTGTTCGCTCCGTCTGAGGGCGTGGCACAGCGAGGGGCTGGCAGGGTGGGGGACGGGGCTTCTCCGCGGGATGTGCGAGGAAAGGAGAGGGTGCGGGTTTGCCGTGCAGGACCATGCGTGCGGCTGGTTTATGATGCTGCAATAGAGAGCGAACGTGCAGCAGCCGGTGGTTCATGCGGAACTGCGCGGTTTGTGATTCAAATAGAGAAATAACATTTCTATAGATACTGTAATTAAAGAAGTGAAAATGTTTCGGAAGTGTTGCATATGTAAGCCGCCAGGTCACTGATGTGGGTGAATATACATGCAAAAGGCTTCTGTGGATCTTTCTGGTTTGGGGCTCCTCTGCCACACAAGATGTGTCTGGTCCTTACTCTCTATGTTGGATCCCGTTGCCTTGGTCACGTAACCTTCGTGCAGGCTTAAGGCACTACTTTTTGTCTAAAGTTTGCTGCCTTTATTCTGCCTGCTCTGATGTGTGCATGTATTATTTTGCATGTTTGTTAACAATTACTTTCCTCAGTTCTTTCAAACCCAAATATGGGTTGTAATGAGTATTTGGACTTGTTTACTTTCACTGGAAAGATAGGTTATTTCCTTAATAAAGCTTCAAGTGATCAAAATTGTGATGAAACTACGAATCTCCTTTAAGATGGCATTTTCCAGTTTGTCAACAATTCTGGTATTGAACTTTCTGCAAAATATTTCATAGAAACTAAAGGCTATGAACTTATCAGTTTACTTAGGTAGTGATAGTTTTGCTGCCTTACTTGCCCATTGTGTACTGAAAATAATAAAAAATTAAAAAGGAAAACAGTAAGGAGTAGGGTAGCAAGCCTATGCTACATTGCTGGCATATATAATACAGGGACATTTCTTACTGAGGCCTATGTATGAACTAGGTTTTCATTTCCATTATTATCAGTATTTTGTCAGTGCTCAGAAATGAGATTCAAGTGTGCCCTAAAGGTCTTGCAAGCTACTTCAAACTAGTTTCAGGTGCAAGTATATGGAAAAATGATGGAAAGTGGAAGTCATTAACAATCTGAACCTCTGCCACGTTGCAAAAATAATTAGTCCTAATTACACCTCATTAAGTGTCCTTCTTTTATTGCGAAGCACAAAACCACTAAATATGATTAGTATCCACTAGAATAATTTTCACTAGGAAGCATATGATTTCCTAGAGTACCTATGCACATAATTCTAAATAGCTCTATTTCCTCCCTCTATTGTTACTCCACTATTATGGAGACTGTTGATCACTGGTGAAAAATCTTGATGTATGCTAGGTTCCTCCAACAAAAATCCTTGGACTTCCTTCATTCATGTAGGATATGTCTTGAATTTATGTATGATTTATGTGTACTTTATTCAATTACTAACTTTTGATGACAATAGGAGAAGCCCCACCATATGGCTTATAGTTCAGATGTGAATTGTTCAAGTCCATAGTGAATTCCCTAGTTCTGTAGAACATTCATATGCAATTGTCTTCTCATTGTCCACAGGGTTACACAATCAGAGCTCTCAAATTTGGTCTGTTTATTCCTTCGTTGTTCAATAGAAGCTTTTAACATTGTGAACGCTGTTGGAACACTTTGGAGGTACCTCCAAATGGCTTTTGCTAGCTGTGGGGCAAAGGCCTTGGAGCACTGGAAGCTAATTTGTATTACTGTAAGTCTATTTTATCTATAGAGATTTGAGGCTTACAGAATTTTAAGTTTTGGAAGAATGCAAGACAACCTAGGGCTCCCTCTCTTTGTATTGATGCCATTTCTGCACCCTTTGCATGTGAATTTTAGACTAAGTAGCTTGTATTTTCCTTTTATTCCATACTTCTAATAGTATGGAAGTCTATTTCAGTAAAACTAAATACCTAATCATTTGCAATACTTAAACTGTTAAAAAGCCCCTGTATTATCAATCTGAGCTGTATGGATCTAATAAAAAAAAAAAACCAAACCCTATTTAAATGAGTACCTTACAATGCTAAACTTGGAACTTTTCAGCATGGGAACAACAACTCATGCAAATGATATACAAATACAAGGTCCAAGGATAATCACAAAACCCCCTCACTGCAGTTTTCATGCATGCTAACTGCATTTTTGCTTATAATCTAACATTCAAAATGTTCTCCATTGGAGAAAAAAAAAAGGGGAGGGAAAAAAAAGGAGTTAACCACATTAGAAACACTGCAGATTCTTAGTATTTTGAAACTGACTGAAAAAAAAAATCAGACTTGAGAAGGATTTGGTTGCTCAGTGCTTTTATTCACAAAAAAACGAACATCTTGGCAAACATGTAGTATCATACTTTCCACATATCAGCAGAGCCCAGGCAGCAGCAAAATAGTAGTGATCTCTATGCTTTATTGGATGTTAGAAGGAAAAAAGTAAATTGAGCATAATGGTCAAGTATATATAATGTGAAATATATCCTTGTTTTCAGGCTGTTTTAATTAAAATAGATCTTATGCTGCCTCCTGTTGGTCACCTACAAACAGAAACATCTACAATTATACTCCACATTACAAACTGCAGTCAGCACGTTCTACAGCCTATACTTTGCCTACTACCTAATACTAACCAGAGGAGGTAAACAGCTTTCTTCATGGAGTAATACCGTAAATAAGTCTGACCTGGTAAATCTACTCCATTTAGTGCATATAATAAATTTTTAACAGCAATAAACTGACTTACTAAAAATGTATTTTGAATATAGAAAACCAAAAATTAGTAAATAAATAATAATCATCAGGTCTGTGCAAACATAATCAACACCTGAATAATTGATATTTATTTTAACAACTAAACCAGTGTGATAACATTATCAAAGTGCTAAATGTTTTGACAGCATTCTTTAAAAATTAAGATTATCCAATATAATCATCACTGGATATTAAAATCCCACATATAATATATATTATCTCCATGTATATTATACTGGTCATGCTTATAATGTGTTCTGTGACATAAAATAGAATACTATTAGAAATGTTTTGGTTACATCGTTTAAGTGCAAATAGTAGTTATAACTTTACATGCAATTAGTTTTAAACATCTTACTCTATTTCAGTGAGAACATTGGTAATCATTAGTCATCAACTATTTTTTAAGGAAGGTACTTTTTCATAAAGTACTGTGAGCTTTGAAAAGTCAGAAAAGATATAGAAAAACTTGCTTTGTACTGACTTTCTGACCTTTTTTAAATTGCATAACAGCTGTGTAAAGTAGAATGAAAAATCTATTTGATCCAGACCTACAGCAGTTATTCATGCAAATAATCCATATTAGTCAGTGTAGCTGAGTTCATTGAGATTTCTTACATCTTTAGCAATCAATCACAGGGTTTGGAATATAGGCTTTTAATTCTATCAGAAAGCCTTATTTTTAACCATAACTTTCTAATACAGCTTCTTCTGCATTCAATTCTGCTACCAGATTTAATACTTTGTCTGTGGAATTGTGGCAAATGACCTTCTTTCCTTTTGTGAGATCTGTAGTACAGGCTTCCTTGCCTAACTGAAGAAAACCAGTCTTATTTCACAGTAACTTTTCTGTAAGCAATGCTGGAAAGTAATTGACACTACTACTCTATTTCCTGATCACTGAGTAAAAAAGCTCAACTCCATGTGAAATCCATGAATGATCTGTCAAACTGGGAACTGACATTAGTTCCTGTGCAAGTGTAGTGTAGAATATTAAAGAAGCATGTCTATTTTCCATATTAAGCTTCATTCAGTTTTCACTATCTACACTAATTTATCTCATATGTCATTGCTCTGTCTGATGTCCTATGCTAGAGTCTTAATATATGTAGCAAGTAGCTGGATGGAAGACTGCCAAAAAAAGCTGCTGTAACAAAAAACTTGGGGGAAAGAGTATTACCTGAATTACTGACTGACTCACTCGCTGTTTATGTGATCCAGCAATTTGGTCATGACAGTGGCAATTAAAAAACCCTTGCAATTCTCTAGTCTCTTCCAATTTGCATAGCTATTTATACCCATGTACTATGGGTATAGTATGTTACTTCTGTCATTGCATAAACTGCATACTCACAATACTCAGGTATAAAACCAACACAAATAAACAAGCAAAAGAGAACTGGGCCTTATATTCCGATGTGACAAGCTGCAATAATTAATGGTCAATGAAGTCTCTAAGCTGTGCTGAGTAGCTTTTATTAATACTAACACTACTCTTCTCCTATGTGTCTTATTTTTCTCCTAGAGTTTCAGTAAGCAGGAATAGTATTCTTCCTCTCTCTACTCAATACTACTCAATACATTTGCTTTCTACTAATAAAAAGTTGTGTTCCAATATAAAAATATTTACATTTCCCTAAGATGATTGTAGAGGTTACCTAGCTAATTGTAGTTACAATATGATTTGGAGACTTACTATGCAAAAAGCAAAATAAATGTGGAAGTTGCCTGAAATATTGTAACAAGCAGCTATTTACTTCTACAGAACTGACACGCATCTTAATACAAATGAATTATTGAGTGGAAGGGTTCTTCTCTATTAATATGTTCTCCAAATCTGAATAACTTTAATTTATGTACTCATGAAAATAGTTAAAATGAATGTTATGTACATTTATAAAGGTATCTGATAACAAATTATAGAATTAATCACAGAATTCCATTGTTTACTGTTTAAAACAAAAGTATGTTCTAGGCAATATTAAGCTTTAAGCATTAATACTGAGCTTGAGTTTTGCCAAAAGTACATGCAGTAGTGATGTGATAATGAACTTGGCACAGTCGTCTCAAGTCATATGAGAGATGTTTCAGATGCCTCACTAAACTTTATTAATTTTTAAACTGCTTGGAAAAGGTATGCTTAGATGTTTAGAACCATTCTGTCTGGCATAGGACAACCTTACTGCTTACATGATATTTATAAGGAACATAAGGGCTCTCAGTGTCTTATTTGAGTACCTAGTACAAAAAGAAAATTCTCAGGCTGTAGAAGATTACAAATGAATTTATGAAACCTAGCTAATTTCACTGTTCTCCTGTCAGAAAGAGGGCCCCCTTTGTAAGCATGAGATCAAATTTACTTCACGATGTATGCCTAGATTAATATTAATACTAAAAGTCCATTACAATTTTAACATTATAATAGATGACTACTGAAAGTTTATCAAGCAATATATTATGCAGTGTTTACTATGTAATATTTTAACACTTAAAATGACCATGAAGTACAAGTGTTTTAATTCATTTAAACCACTCCAGAAGATTTTTTACCTCAGAAATACTATTTACTTTGACTTTTAATACAGGTGTAGTTTTGTAACTTTGTATTTGATGTATGACAAGATACAAACTTCTCCCATAGTTAACCAAAGCAACAACTATAATTTATTTTACAGCTTGCTGCTATAAGCAGCCTGGTGACTGCTTAGTAGGTAGCATTGGAGACTTCAGAGATGGAAGACTTCTGTTAGAAAACATCCTGAAGGGTTTTTTCTTTAGTTAACAACATGACTGAAACAAAGATATCACATGAATCATCCATCCTGTAGAAATCTTGCCCACTCTGCAGTATGTTATTGAAGTTTATCTTGCTACAGGTAATGGGATGGAAACATAAAATAGAGCTACTACTAAGGCACAAGGATGGAGAAAAACGGGTAAAACTGAAGAGCTGAAGTAAGATGATAGCAATTATCAGTCTCTTCAAGTTAGGTACCTGGTTTTAATGCTGTGAAGGTCACTTTGGCTCTTGCCCTTGCTAAGGTCATTCTGATAAGATAAAGTTGACAATTAATTCCTCTTACAGTTTTATGAATATAAAAAATCTAAATAAAACAACAACTAATGTAGATTTCTTTTAAACTTAAGTTACATAGGGCAAACAGTATCACAGTCAATTTTCTCATTTAGCAATTTGTCTACTGGGACAGCTGCGAATATTACAGACATAATGGCACGTATTACACAATGAATTCCTCATGACTATTCTTTTTTGAAAAGTAACATAATTTTCAAAATTATTAATTACAGAGAAGAGTTGTATAGAAAATTAATACTTTCTATATAATAAATAGCATGAATGACATGTTAATGGACTCTTCCAAAAGCAATCCTACAACATATAATTTAAACTGAAGATTTAAACAAACAGGTACATATTTCTCCATCTGTAAATGAATACTTAAAAATCTGTTCTAAAACTTGTGCATTTAAATAGATTCTGTTGATTCAGGAGTTTCAAAATTCTCCAGAGCAAATTGTCAGTACAGGTGACCAAGGGTCCCTATATTTATTAAATTGAATGACCTGACAGTAAAACTCAGTTAAGGCTCTTGGCATTGGTGAAACTTCTTCCCACTCAGACCTACTACTATGGTAAACTTGAACTTCATCTGTGATTTCTTCTGGAGCATAATCACCACCTAGTATATAAATTTTGTCTTCTGTCCCAACTGCCCCTGCATTAAAGCCAGCGCATTCAAAAGATCCTTCCCCTTTCCAAACACAGGTTTCTGGGCAAAAACTGTAGACTTTGTAAGTGGAGAGATCACATATGTACAATGTGCAGTTCACTGGAACAGCTTTGATTAGAGTTGCATGGAAAAACTGCCCAAATTCTGCTACAAGCTCAGACCACTGATCAGTCATGGCATTATACTTAAAGAAACAGTCAAGGGATGGATTAAAGGCATCAGTAATCTCTACTTCTGAGCCAAGGACATAAATTATGTTCTGACATGCACTTGCTTCTGGATAGTAGATACCTCTTGGTAATTGACTTACAGATTTCCAGTCTTTGGAAAGAGGATTATAGGATTCCACATCCAAAAGACTTCGAGTTTCTTGAGCTCCTCTGGTCTTTCCACCTATTACAAAGAGCTGATTTAAGGTTACAACAGATGTGTGCATTGTCCTTGGTTTTTTCATAGCTGACACTATGGAGAATTCATTGCTGACTGGGCAGTAGCACCAGGTTTGGTCAGTGGCATCATGAAACGGTTCAGCAATATGAAGCCTGACAGTCCTGTAACAATTCCCCTTGCATCCTCCGGTTATAAATATTTTTTCTCCATAGCTAGATAAACTTGACCCTGGTAGATCAATCATGTGTGTATGTGGTAGTTCCTTCCATTTATCTGTTTTGATGTTGTAGCAGAATGTATGTCTGTTTTCTCCATCTTCATCAGTTTTATGAACAAATATATATTTTTCTGTTGTTGAAGGACGTGCATCTGGAAACAGTCCACTGAAGTTCTGCACACTTTTAACTGCATCACTGATTATTACTGAGCAATTAGCACTCTTAAGTAAGTGTTCTTCAGAATGCAGAAAGTCCTGCAAAGTCTTTTCAGGTAACTGGTGTAGTCTCACTTTTTTAATCAAATTAGGCAGGTATTTCTGCCGTGTTTCTAAGTTGTGTTTGGTCCACTGGAGGACAGCTTTCAACACTGATTCTTCCTCAGGGACATTTAGCTCATCAGCCTCAAGACATTTTTGTAATATTTCAAAATTCATCTCCAAAAAATCACTTGATCTGAGCAGCAATGAAAAGTGGTGCTGTACAAAATCTAGCGCGTGATCAAACAAGCGGATGGACCCATAACTTTCTGATAGAGAAAGCAACTGTAGGCAATTCACAAGATCAATACTTTTTATTAGAAAGTCACTGCAAGCTTTGGAAAGGAGTGAAACTTGAAGAAATGATGACAGTTGGAAGAGCATTTCCACATTATCATTTGTTATCTCTGTTTTTCCTGTGTAAGCGTAATCAAGAAAAGCTTTCACTGCCTTGGGTGATAGATTACTAATAGTAACATTGCCATCATCTTGTTCTTTCATATTAACTTCAAACATGGCTCTGCAAATAAAATATAGAAGATATACACACGAATTAAAGACTTAGCAAGCAGCAGAGGAGTATAATAAGGTGGGCTGATCTAAAATACGTCTAAAGTATGGAAGTTCTTATAAGAAAGAACAATGCATTTACTTGGTATGTTTGAAGAGAAAAGGAGTCGTGATAAGAACATATTCAAAGTGGTGGCTTAAAAAAATGATAGCTGCACCTGCATTTTGTATGGATTTTCACAGAGAGCAATGAAGTATGCAGCTCTTGGTGTGAGAGAAAATGTGAAATTGTTCAGGATAGCATCAGTTTCAACAGCTTAGGAAAGAAAAGGCTAATTTAAAAAATACAGAGTAAAAAAAGGCCCATGATTCAGGTCATGCACTGTGGTTGAATACATAAAATTAAGTGAAAAAAAGCCTTCCAAATTGCAGCCTGAGCAAATGGCAGGATGGATGATGGGTGCATTCCTTGGAAATAAAAAGTATGTGAGGGGTGAAAAAGGAAAAAAAACATGAGGAAACTTAATTCTTGCTTTAGAGTTGACAGAGATATTTGAGTACAGGCCAATGTCAGAAAAAAATGAGGTTTTGACATAGGATTGCATGACACAATGAAACTGTGCAGAAAGTAGATTGTGACTGAATACAAAGACAATTGAAATTGTGGAATGAATTATTGCTAAGTACATTTGTGGAAATTTTATTACAACTTTAACTACTTTATTCTAAATATGTAATAACATTTAGGTATTTCACACAATCTAACATGGCAAGATAAATTAACTAAAGTTTTTCAAGCAGGAAAGTGCTGGCAACAGAATAGTGCTGCAATATCCCTTGTCCTACCCTAAGCATCAGGGATAGCAATGGCTTCTGAATTTGACAAAAGATGATAGTGGAGGAAGATTCAAATAAATTACCAGATGCTAAGTATAGAATCTGGATTATTAATAGATCATGGATACTTCATGTTAAAAAGAAAGTATTATAGTTCAGTTATACAATAAGTATCTCTATAGTATGGGATTTTTAAAATTGCTTCCTTTTCTGAAACCAAAGAGAAAAAAACCCAAACTGTGTATAAGCATCTTCTTTGGGAACTAAAAATCTGGTAAAGCAGGAAGATGCTTGACTTCCTGAGCAAGAACATAAAATTACAGTGAGACACCCATGTCCCAAAGACCTTTTTGCATACTAAATGATGACACTTAGAATCCTTTCCTCATTAACCCAAGAGCTATGATATAAATCTCTAATTACAGAGTAAAATAGCAACGGAACAATACCAGTAGGAGAGCAATATAGGCAAAGGCCTTGACTCTGAAAGCTAACAAGTAAGGATCAAAATATTGCTGAATCTTGGGTTTGCACAAGGAAACAAAAATTAGGAGAAGTCCAAAGGCCAAGGAAGACAAAAGGTGTTCTGTTTTAAAACGTATCTAGTGGACTTAAGTACTTTTTCCTCCTTGAAGGTAAAAAATGGGCCTTGCAATCAAGGATGACTTATGAATCTGATGGCTGCTATTATCAACTCTTTGCAGTAGGGAGAGATCTCTCCTACCAAATTTTCATCTGAAGAGCCTGTAGGTAGTGAAAAGGACACATACGTTACCATGTGCATAAGTTCAGTTCTAAAAACTACCACTGGAAGCTATTTCATCCTAATATTTTTTTCTACCAGAGCATCTTTGTGCTGGCAAGCAGTGAAGAAATAAATGCAAGTAGTTCTTTGTGTCAGAGAAAAACCAAATGAGCTGCTACAGGGGAGAAATTGCTCTCTGAAATTTCATCTGATTTCTCCTTTTTTTTCAGTAATTCTAAGCATATCTCTAGCTATCTTCTGTCAGATATGGCAGACTCCCATAGAACATGGGATATTCCAGGACATTTGAAAATAACACTTGTCACCTATGGGTGACCTTGGGCAACTGAATCGAGGACATTAACTCATTTCTAGGAGCCCATTTTTTCTTTGTTGAGAGTATTAGCTTTGTTTTATTTAACACTGTATTCAGAAACAGACTTTCAGTGTTGAATCGCAAGTTTGAGACTCACTAATAAAAAGGCTAGCAAGGTTCTTCATAAATTAATATTCTGTATGTGAATGATCTAGCTGTTCCTTAAGAACATATAGCTTTAAGCACCAGAAGGAAGATCACAGATCCATTTCATGCTGAAAGGCTGAAATCTGTAGTTTAGAAAAAGTACATCTGTTTAAATACATCTGTCTTAACTGAAGACAATCTATAGACCAACCATTCATCTTAGACAAACAAAATGCAGTCCCATTCCAAAACCATGTACAATTCATCCACAATTGCTCAATGGATGTATTTATAATCAACCTGTTCTGTTTCACTAGATATGTGTCACAGTACATAGACTGTCCAATACAAAGTCAAACAATATCCTTGCAGACCTTTAAGTACTGATACGGCCAACAGGTAACTCCTAAATATACGTAACTTGTGTCAGTTCTACCCAAGAGCAGAACCACACACTTATGGTATGAAGCTTGTATTTCAGAGTATGGACTCCTGTCTGAATTCACAGAGTCCTTGTGGCACTTTGGAAATACAAACAGATGCACCTGGTGTATCCTTAAAATGATGTTTGAACGCTTTGCTTGAAACTCTGCACACGTATGTAAGTTGTGATTTTTTTTTTTCTTTGGGGAATTATATTTCTTTCCTCTCCCCCCAGAGAATTTAGAATCTATTTCCTGCAAACTCATGCCAAATTTGGGTTTACCTGAAAAAATCACTGCATGCTGCCAGTACACAACGATGACAGGGAATTATTTCATCTTTCACAACAATTTTAAAATCAAAAAATATATTTTGTTCTCTGAACTTTTGTAGTACTTTTAGAATCTGTTGTCCATGACCTTCAGCCACTAAGGAATTGATTTTATTTTCAGGAACAGAAATCCCATTGCAAATAGGTCTGCTAATGTAATCCCGTTGATTGGCCATGTTTTCTTCAATCTATTCCTGAAATGGAAAAATAAGGAATTGATTCTACAGTCTTATTAAAAAAAACCCAAGCAAAATCAATAGACCATAAAACAAACAAAAAAGTTCCCAATGTTGAATTTAGTTTATAAGTCCTATGCACAGTTAGAAATTTGTGTCATAAGTGACTTTTACACAATACTCCTTTGTAAAATATATACACACAGCATATTTTGAAAAGTAAAATATCTGCCACATATCAAGGAACAACTCTACAAATAATACCCACCTGCAGGAATTTTTCCAGTAAAGTCCACAGGAAGCACATCAAGGAGTGTGATAAAATTTTTAAGGGGCATTTAAGAGAAAGATTAGTCCAGGGTTACCCTCAAAAAAACCCAAACTCTTACAATTTAATGTACAATGAAGTTGGAAAAAGAAAACTTTCTTGCATATTTTAGATTCCAAAAGGCTCATCTTTCTACAGCTTGCAGTGGAAGGGAGATAAAGGCTACCAGACTGCTTCCTACGTGAATTCCCATGAGGCACTCTGGACTGAAATAACAGAATACAAATGAACACCAACAGCCTGGCCGAATCACAGGATTGCTGGGGCTTACCAAATAAGGTCACTTAGAGACACTTTGGTAACAGTACACCTTTGAGTGTTTAGTCAATTGAAACTCATTTTGTCTTGTAGCTCTGGTCTTGCTAGGTAGCTGTATGTTTGCCCACTGTAAGCTTCATTTACAGTGGTGTAAATTAACTGGCTTCAGAACCCATTTAAACTTAAGACAGTGCAATCTCCCTTTCAGCAGCCATGTTTTGGTTCTGGTGAAAATCCCCATCCTGAAGTATACTTTTTTTATGGTGAGTTGGCTTTAACTGTTTTTTACAGTGAAAATATTTTACTCCACTTTGTCAACATAAAGAAGCTTTAAACATGAGTATATTTTATTTACACATATTTAAAGAGCTATTTATATGCTGCAGATGCATAAACTGCCCTTACTGCAAATCTGAGTCAAGGTTGCCTATTCTAAAGCTTAAAGAAGCATTGCAAGTTTTATTCCAGGATTTGACTTCCACAGTTCCAATTAAAATTAGCAACAGATAACGGCCCACCTGAATTGACAAGGGGATAAAAAAATTCCAAGCCAAGCTCAGAAACCAGAATACTGGGTTTGGGTTTTGATTTCATGAAAAGGCTTATCTGATAACATGATACATTCAGAGCAAACTAAAGCATCAGGCAGTCTTCCTCATGGGAGGTACTTTCACAGCAGACTGATCTATACTTTATCTAGTCAGGTAGCTCCAACCACAAATAGACCTCCATGTCTCCTGGAATAGAAGAGATCCAGTGATCTTGCTGCCAGCACTGGCACCCGTGCAGCAGGCATCTTCTCCTTCCCATGGCCAGACAATCTCACGTATTCACTCTTTCCATTCTAAGCCTGAGGAACTAGGAAAATACAGAAGAACAAGACCACCATTTATTCTGATAATGTATGGCCTCATAAACCCCCAACTTCAATAAATCATAAAGTAACATTTCTCCTAAACAAAACCTTTTCACAAAATTCTGGAACTGAAAATAGATAGTAGACATCTTTCTCCTTTTATATGTAATTTCTATAACAAGCCTCAACCTACAACTTTTTTTCAGTAGGTAAAATTACCAATTTCAGTAATATTTATCTTTGTATAATGACCACAGTGACATAATACTGTCATCAAGTCCATCTCTGCTATTTTAGGCAAAAAACATCATATAATCACTTTCATAAAAGCAGTCTAAGTTCCAGAAAGTTTTCTTTTACCACACTATTACCACAAAAAAAGACTATCCCAGTACACTGGTGTCGAGACTGAAAACTTCTTAATTACAGAATCAATTTATTAATGCTTACATATATTTGTTCTTCTGTTAAATTGTAATTTGACTTAATTTTCTGTTGTATATTTCTTCACTCTTTTAATTATCAAGAGCATTGATATCTTCTCTCAACTTTCATTAGAGTGAATAATTGTCAAATTTTCCAAGGTCCATTTATAAGACTGAATTTTTGTTTTTCCTTCCTATTTCTTGCAGTTTTCTCTTCATCCACTCTAGTTTGATCTTAAATTTTCTTCACTGATATCAGATTTGTTGTACAATATTATGGTTAAGATCTCATCATTGTCTCACTACTCCAGTTTGCAGGACATCTAGTGCATCCTAATTCTAATCTCTAATAGCAGTGTCTCATTGTTTTATTAAAAGCAAAATTCAGCAGTGTATCTTTAATATTTTTGTCCACTATTCAGTAATGTAGTAATGAATATCGTGCTATGACTTAGCCTAATTCACCCTTGCCTCCATTAAGAAAATACATATTAAAAAAATTCAATTCTCATCTTTTGTGTAGCCAATTCCTGATTTATATGGTAATTTTGGTACTAATTTACCACCCTACTGAATCTGTAAATGATTTTAGAGCCCTCCAAACTATCTTAACAATTCAGCTAAAACTTGGTATGTTAAACGAGGCCAACTAGCATTTATAATTATTTCATACTTTCTTCTACAAAGCTATATGAATTAATCAATAGAGGTTTTTTAATAAATATTTGATCAAGTTACTGACAAAAGGGTAGAAAACATAGAGGGTGCAGACATATGTTGCATAGGTCTGTAGCTCAGGAAAGCTGGGCTACAAGCCTCCTTTTATTTGCTCTATTAACTCCACAGGATTCCAGTTTCAAAGCCTGTCTTTATATGGATTAGCACAAACCAAACTCCAGTAGGTGGTCCATTAGAGTTGGGAACTCCTATTTTTGTTTCTTAGCATATGGCTGTGCTGTAGAGCAACCATCCTTCCAGCATCTTCTGTAACACGACACAGGAAACCCTGAGCACTGCAGTACGTGACCCAATCATATACCACTTGACAAAGCTCCCCTGCTCACATCCTGGATGTTTACACATCTTACACTCACAAATGCCCCATTAGCTATTAGCCTGGTTTTCTAAAACAAAAAAAAAACAAAACAAAGAGAATCCAAAACAATTCCAAAGCTAAACTCCCTTAATACACTTGCCCTAAGGTTTTTTTTGCTTGAAAGCCACCTCAAACAAGGGGCCAGTTGACCATTACAGTGAAATGCCATAAAAACTTCACAGTTATTAAGGTCAACCCCATATAATACACGACTGGGGGACATATATGTACCTCTCAGAGCTATCTGTGCAGATCTCCAGTTGAGGGGCAGGGCATTCTGAATGGTTGAAAGCTAAGTAGCAAGCAATGGCCAGCCTATGTGTGGCCACAGTGCAGCCTTATGGACAGTAAGCTCATTTTGTTCATTATGGTGGATGAAATCAGGGACCACCCGGGAGCTCTAAGGGAAGAGTATTATAGTCTGTCACAGAATCCACTAATAAGGACCCAAACCTTGTAAGTTCTGCTGTTTACAAGACTCCTCTGTTTTAGAATCATAAAATGGTTTGGGGTGGAAGGGACCTTAAAGATCATCTAGTTCCAACTCCTTGCCCGATTTAACACTGTCCTCTTCCCAAGATGATAAGGGACAGAGGAGTCTAGGACACAATGAGCTCGTTGTCACAGATGCCAGGTAACCACACTGAGAAGTCTGATAAGTCCATAGTCGTGATATGAGATATACACACATTCCTCTTAGTCATATCTAAGCTATTGGTAAAAAGCTACAAGAAGATGTTTAACTGACATCAACACCATGTGAACAGCTGCCAAAATCACTCACCGATTTTCTAGAGGAATTGTTTTACTTCACCAATGCTAATGATCCCTTTCCAAAGATAGTTAAAGACATAAATTTTTTATGATTTTTTTTTAGTTGGCACCATCAACAATCCTTCTTAAATGTTCTTACAATTCTGTACATAGAAGAAATTGAAATGAGTCATTTATTTGCTTATATTTTTCCTTTGGCAAGTCCAGGTGCCCTTTTGAGTATCAGTTTAATAACCTAGATATATGTTTAATCCCAGATTATACTAAGAGACTGCAAATACAGCATGTTAAATTCATATAGCAGACAAAAAACATCCAGGACAGACCTTTTCAGAATATCTCATACAGCATACACTAAAATCATAATCACTGCAATCCGCCTCCTAGAAATGGTGTTCACATCCATTCCACCCAATTTGAAAGAGCAAAACAAGCAGAACTGTGAAATGAACTTTGAGCAGAGATGAACTTTTGTTTGCGAATGGTCTGATCAGAACATATCATGTACATATATTCATAAACGCTTCTGCTGAGATTTTGCTAAACCAACAATCAAAATAGCCTTAGCTGCTACAGCTGATAGATAACACGGTTACAGAAGTTTAAATGTGCCGATGAAGTTGAGAATGGTGGAAGATGTACAATTAATTCTTAGTGAATAACCAAGGAAAATTTATTAAAAAAGGGAGAACGTGTGTAATAAGAATGGAGCACAAACACCTGGATAAGGGTACAGAAAGACACAAAAGGCTTAGACCAAACTGCTTGATCACTTTATAATAGTAAGATAAAAATATACATACAAATACGTGTGACTTTTAAAAAGCCTAGGGGATGTTGTTTTGTGAAAGTATTGAGTATACATAAGTATCACACATAGCTAAGTCATCACCTTGTCAGAAAAAACACATTATGGCTGTGCCTGCCTGACAGTAAACACATCCAAACACTTGTAACAGGACTGAAGCTCGACACTGTTTCCAGCACAAAGGACACCAAACTTACATGAGCCACTTAGAAAGTACAAGTACTGTTCTCTGCTCTACCAACATAGCTGGCAATAAGTCTAAACTCAACAACCTTTTTTTGGTACTTTGGTATTTACAAACAATTGTAAAACAATCTGTCTGCTTCATCTGACAGCACAATACAGATGTGCTATGACACCCTTTCACAATTAAAAAAAAAATAGTTCTTAATACTTCTTAGCAGGTATCTTATGAGAAATAAATTGTTCTTCAGTGGAACATTACGTTTGTCACTTAGCCTTCTCCCAACTTGGATAGTATGTCTTACTGGATAACAAGATTTTAAAAAATAGTTAAGAGCTGATATTTTACACCATGACTTATGTACCTATGAAGAAGGAAGAGCAATGAAGATGAAAAAATTGTATACATTTCTCTAGAGAAGTTTCGGATTTTTTTTTCATACAAAATTTATTTGTACATTAATTTATGTTTTGAAAAGGCCAAGGTCAGCATTTTAAAATCTAAATTAAAAATAAGTATTATATTATTAAGTCTACTACATATCCATTAAGATGATTTGCTATTTTCACTCCTTATCCATTCAAAAGGGGAGAAATTAATAATTTGTTAACAAGTTTTAAAGACATCGCTCTGCACTACACATCTAATTTAACATTCACCAAGGTGAGTATGAGTGGAACAGATATCTGAAGGAGTTGGTGACACTTCTAATTGCTGACTAAAAAGACAGGAGTGATTTAAAATGTAACTAAACTATATATATTGAGTAAAAAGTTCTGTACTTTTATATTGTATTAATGTTTTGATTGTCATTAACTGTCTAAGATTGAAAACACTAACAGAATTCCAGGTTCAAATCTGGAAATTTCAATGCAACTGCATCTCACAGCTTCTTCATAAATAACTGAACTTCAATGAAAAATAATATTCAGTCAATCATTTTTAGACAATCAAAAAAATGCATGTGACATTCTGAGGCATTTAATCCACAAAAGTGGCATTTATCAATAATACATATTGAGACAGTATTCTCAGACTGAAAGGTGACACAGAGACTTTAAAGCTTTGTGTTCTTTAGAAGTGATTGAAAAAAGACCCAACATGGAAAAAACCCCAGCATGATATCAGTAGGAAGGAATGAAATGTCACTGGTCCCTGCAAGCATTCCAAAAGTGGGAGATTCCTACTCTGCAGGCAGGGATCATTAAATGCATCTTCTCTCACAAACACATGAATCCATTAAGATAAAGCAATAATCACTTATAAGAACTAAAACTGACTGGATTTTATCCTAAAGCTAAGTTTCTCAAAGTCATCACGTTCCTTTGCAAATTATTTTCTTAGCTAAAAAAGATCAAGAACTGTAATTTTAATTTTCAGAAAAAAACCCTGGAATTAAAATGCCATGCTACACTTCTAATTCTGGCAAAAATAACAACTACAAGCTCCAGAAAAGGAAATCACAATGCTTGAAATGGAAGCTACAGTTTGATATTGGTGAATAGCATTTTCCTAGATTTTTTTTCTTGACAGTGTTAAATCCTTTTCTGCTGTCACTTAACTTTTTCTCTGTCTTTGGATACTACAGATTATGCCATCGATTGCTTCACGAAGTCATGAAGAAAAATGGGAATAATATTTTGAAATATGATAATTACCCTTGATGAAACATATATGTTTTCTTGATGAAACATATTTCTACACAAATGCTACTTCTGTGTTTAAAACATTTTGCAAAGAGCAACATATACTCAGTTATAACTATGACATATTTTAGGCAGAAAGACTTTCTGGCCCATGTAGAAATAGCACTTTTCCCCCACGACCAGGGAGCTGTGAATTCTAAACAACAGCAACAATAAAAGGAGGATTCTAAGAAATACCTGCAATAATATAATTTTCAATACTTTTGCATCATTTGTACATGGCCAGTATAGAATGGTTGAAGCGTTAAGTATTTCTAAAGGCAAGCAGCAAGAAGAAGGGTTATAAATTTTCAAACAGCCCTAAATTTTTAGCCATGGTCCAACTTCAGAACCAAAGGGCAAACGAATTTATTACCTTCTGAGGATTTACAGATGGCCTGTAATTGAGGGCAAGTGGGAACCCAGTTCTGACAACCATTAGAGCTCTTAGTGCTCTCAACGAGCACGGGATAGAAGAGGCTTTTGTTCGGACAGATCTTTTGAAGCCAGAACCCAACCAGGATGATGCAGCGCGTTGCATCTGTTGTGGGGACAATCGGCTCCTCTTTTCTGGGCAAGAAAAGGCAGCGAGGCCAGGGCAGGCAGAGGCCACCCCGCTGCGACCGCTCTGCCAGGGGCTGGGACGACTCTCCAGCAGGATGGATGTGCTGACGGCAACATCTCAGCCGGATGCGCCGATGGCAGCGATGGGACACCGGGGGCATCACTTGCCATTGACCGGTCACGGTGCCATCAAGAACCAACGTCCCCCGCCCCCACGGCATAAACGCGTCCCTGTCTCGCGCAAAGCCGGGTGCAGTCAGAAGCTACAGGGCAACCACGTTCCTTCTGCCCCGGCCGGGGTTACCGGCCATCCCCAACCTCCTCCTCCCCAAACTCAACCCCGGCCGCCATGGACCCCGCCCCGCCCGCAGGGGGAGGGCGGTGCCGCCAGCGCCACCACTGCGCATGCTCAGGCAGCCCGCGCGTGCGCCCCGCGGCGGCTCCGTTCATTCTACAAGCAGACGCACACTAATCCACGCGAGCCACGACCATGCGGCGGGATGGGGGCAGAGGGTTCCTCACTAGAGCGCGACGCGGGAGAGGAGTGTGGAGGCCTCGACGCACAACGCCTCCGTTAGCCGCACAACACCCACAGCACACACAACTGCAGCATCACTTCCGAGCCACGACACCACCTGAAGCCAACACTACTCACCGACTGCACTCGCCTCAGTCGCTCCAACAAGTTCAGACACAGCCTTCTGGTGTCATTCTCTCGCTCCTTGCGCTCGGAATGGCTCCCCCGGCCGTCAATCCAGGGCAGAGCCCGCCCATCTCCGAGAGCTGGTTCCTCCCTGACGGCACCACGGGTGTAGCTCCGCCGCAGGCACCGCCTTTCCCCTGATAGGCCGGTACCTGGCGCATTCCCCTGTCACTCATGGGGTGCTCTGACATCGGAACTGGTCGTGTGCCTTTCGAGGCGGGGGCCTTCGTCCTCCCGCACGCCGATAGCTTCCCGCCGTGCTCGTAGGGGGGTGGCTCGTGGCGGGCCTGGCTTGGGCCGGGGCCCGGGAAGGGCCATGGCAGTGTGCGCTGGCTTTCCCCTGCGGGGGCCTGGCGACCCCGCCGCCGGGGATTGGCTGCTGGCCGCGCAGCTGGTGCAGCCCGAGGAGAAGGACCGCATCGGCCAGTTTGTCTTTGCTCGCGATGCCAAAGCCGCCTTGGTACATGGGGGCACGGGGACGCGGCTGTCTCTGCAGATTGGGCATTGCCCAGATGTCTGACTCCTCGTAGGAAAACGTGCTCTACAAGGGCATTTCGGGGAAGTAATGCATCGTAAAGTACAAAGCTTGATGCGTAAAGTATGCAGCTCTGCTTCGCCGCGGAGCAAAAAGAGATGTTTGCAGTCTGCTCTCAGTAGTTACTGTGAAAGTCTTCACAAGTTCTGTGTCGGGGTGTCAAGTTAGGAGACAAAATCAGCATACCCTGGGAGACTGTACCTAAGACAGCAGTGTAGTGTGTAAGAGAATAAAGCTATTCTACACGATTCAGGTTTTAAATCTCGCATCAGGATGTGTTAGTGATACAGACCTGCTAATTTGTGTGTAAGAAGTTACCCATCACTTTTCAGCTGCTCAGTATTTCATTTAGTGCCGAAGTAATGGAGTGGCTGTACTGCAAGGAAGGCTTGAGACAATGTTACCGTTCAGGGTGGTGTAAAAATATTTATTTGTGCCATGAAGTATCCTAAGCAAGTAAACAAGGTAGGGAAAGGAACTGTTTTTGTGATTCTTCTAGGCTGGGACTGCTTTTGGGTCTTATGTTGCCTCTGTGCTAATAGTGATAATAAATGTGTTTGATACTCAGGTCTGGTGAACTCGTGCTTTGCAGACACAGGCTTTTATAAAAGGGGGGAATTTAAATTATTCAGCTAAAATACGCTCTTACTTTGTATCAGCAATAATAAAACCATATTTTTCAGGCAGGTGGTTTTCTAGCAACCAGAGGTATTTTGCAGATAGCATAATAGTTCTGTATGAATCACTTCCATTTTATTTCACAGGCTGGTCGCCTGCTGATGCGGAAATTAATTGCAGAAAAGATGTGCATACCTTGGAATGAAGTACGCTTGCAAAGGACATCGAAAGGAAAACCTTTCCTGGCCAATACCGTAGTCAGTATCAATTCGAATTACAACTTCAATATCTCTCATCAAGGAGATTATGCAGTCCTTGCAGCTGAGCCTGAGCTTCAAGTGGGCATTGATATAATGAAGACTAATTTACCAGGTAATGCATTATTCTGACCAAAACAGATTCTGTAGTGTTTGAGTACTGAACATTTTCACATTTCCCAAAGAAGTAATCTGTGTCCTAGAAATTTAGTGTAATTAGAAAAGAGAGTGTATTTGGGTTTTTTTAAAATTGTTATATGCATTCCTCATTGTTTATTTCTGTTATGACAAATATAAATCTATTTCCCATTTAGAAAAGCAGGACCCTGGAAAAGTAAAGTCATGAATTGTGCTATGATACTGGCAGGATCAGCATCTGCAGATATGTTAATTATGGATTTTCTGTCTCTTAGGTAGAAGCAGGGATGACTTTCCAAGTAGTGACAGTGGGAAATTTTTTTTTCTTAGTAGAATCACCTGAAACTCCTTTTTTATTGCTATGCTATGAATATGTAACACTGACTTTACCAGTATTGTTTTCTCTGATAGTTCCACTGAGTGGTGCTCTTGTTCTGCAGTTGCTGAGTCCATTAGATTTCAGAGGGTGAATCCACTATAAATCTCTTTCTCTGGAACAGCTACAAGGACAAAGATTTCCCTATGTGCAAAGTACATTACAGTAGGTTTGTTTGGTTATTTTTCAAATGCTTGTTTAAATACAAAGTACTTTATTTTGTGATGTTATCCAACAGAATCTTGATTGAGGTCTCCACTATTCTAGTTCTTGTATTCCTTTATTGCTCCACCAGTGAAGATGCAAAATCTGCAGTGCAGATATACAAGAGAGTATCATGCAGCTGCAAATTTTGAGAATTCTGCTATTTAATTGTGTGCTAGTATGTAATAAGGAGTCCTGGTGCACATAAATATTTTATACAACTACTTAATCCATGCTATCTGTTTTTGTTTTACTTGTGAACAATAAGAAGCCTCCTCTTTCCATATTACTTCTACTTCATTATTAAAATCTGAAAAATGAAACTACTAGAAGATGCAGACTTCTTCAGAGGTAAAGGTGGGCCATAAGAAAAACTATTCTTAGCACTGCAAATAGAGGCAGTTCTACAAAAGTTGCTCACCTTTTTTCAAGGTGATAAAAGTTTATCACTTTTTTCCTTTTATTCAGATACTGAACTAAATACTGTAGTGATGGTAGAAAATATCCTCTTTAGGTATTTAGCTTCCTTAGGTATTGTATGCTTTTGCCTTTTCATTATCTGGCATGTTATTGTTGTAGATTTAAATCAGTCTTTCAGTTTACTTGTTTTTGAATAATTACTGAGAACAGTGATTATTCTCTTCAGATCAGTTGAAGAGGGACTCTTGAGTCATTTGGGAACAGGCACACTGTAGTACTGTAGGTTTATTAGTAGAAGTATTTGTGCACATTTTTTGACCAGAGAATTAATGCATGTGAAATTATTTTAAGCCTTTCACCAAAGGAAAGGAGAAGGATTCTCACAGTACTACTAATTCCTGTGGAAAAACTCAGCTTGTGTTTGATTTTTAACTTATGGAAAAGAAATTTTGCAACAAGTGTCAACAATGGTTTAAGTGGGATGTTGATTTACCAGTCACTTAAACTTTGCAAAGTAGAACATTTTCAGAGACTTAGGAAATAATTATAGCTTAATAAAAATTGCCTGGAGCACTTAAAAAAAGTTTGGATTCTTAGGTTCAAGAGCTTTCTTGCTGTGCAAGTGAATTTCTCTTCAGTAATGCAATTTTTTAGCTTAGATGGATTGCAAAGGTAAATAAACTAACAATTCGTTCTCTATCTTTCATAATCAGCCTGCAATTTTTCTTGCCTATCACATTAAAGTTACTTTGTTCTGGACATGTCTAATCTCAATGTTCTTCCAGAATTAAGTATTTTACAGAGATAAAAATCAACTTTTCTCATTGATATTTTGGTTTTATGTTAGGCTTGCATATTAAAAGACACAAAACAGTAAATTTTCTGTATGTGAATTTTACAGAAAAATTCATTTGATCTAAAAATACTCCATGCTCTTTTAAGGAAGTAGTCTATTATATGCAAACACATGATTGACTTTTCTCTGAGGCAGATAAATATAAACAGAACTTGACTCATTTTTCTCTTTTTATTCTCATTATTTCATCATTGAGATGAGATAATGCAAGAGATGATAGAGGTTCTCAAATGAGAGATGTGTCACACACGAATTGGGATATCTAAGTACCACACAAAGAAGCTAAATACCATGCTTCAGTCTAGCTAAGGGAGGAAAGCTGTCTCTCTCTCTGTCCAGACAGTTAAAAGCTTTATGCTGTTTGTTTTGGTAGCCATAAGCTAAAGTGAGAGTTAGGCACACCTACATCATAGTTAACATACTTGGCATGTCTTTTAGGTAGCAACCATGCTCAATTTTTTGAACTTGCAATGCTTTTTTAATTGCTACTTTTCATTTTTTTCAATAGGAATTTCCTAACCTAGGAAGAAGTGCCAAAGCAGATTGTTCTTTGCAGTGCTTTTGCCCTTACAGTGCCTTAACTTTACCTTAAACCAAATTTTATCTGGTTTTGTTTTTATTGTTGTATTTCAGTAAATCTCATAGTGGCAATCAGCATCTAATCTTTTGCTGCAAGACATAATCACCAAATTCTTAGTGAATGCTACAGCTTTAGATATGTAGATGCCCTGTTTGGGATGAAGAAATTAACAAAGGATTCGGTTTAAATGTTACTTCTAATTGTTCAAAGAAGTCAGAATTTATAAATATGTAAGCACATAATTTTTCGATGCGAAGGAGTGTTAAAACAGCTGATATTGTTGTGGAGCTAAAGAATCATAGTGGTCATACGCACTTACACTGAGTAAACAGGGAGGCATTTCTTTGTTCTTGTTCTGTTTGAAACTGGGAAGAAACAGCCATTTTAAGCATACTCTTAAAGAATACCTATTACATTATAGCAGTTTCATTATTGTCCTTTATTTAGTCACATTTCTAACGCTGTTTTAACCTGAAATTGCGTCATTTTGTAATTAATGAGACACCAATGCTTGATAAACTGTGAAAGAAAAATTTGTTATTCTGATTAAATCTCCTCTTTAAGGAAAAATAATCTTTTTTTTTTTTCTGAAGAAACCATCTTAATCCTTTATGAGTCTTTCTTTAATAACAAAACATAAAACCATTTGGATTAAAATATAAACAGATAGCAAAATGTGGAACAGTAAAAATAAACGTGTGTAGAGTATATATGTTTAAAATAAGGAATAAATTAGCAATAAAGAAAGCAAAAAAATTTAAAATAGGTGATTTTAGTAAAAATAAGAGGTGGAACAAAGAGCAAATATAAGAATGCTTGTCTGATTGTTTTTGGGCTTTGGTGTTGTGAGGTTATTTTCCCTTCTGCACACTGAATTTAAAATAATCACAGTTTATTCCTTAGCTGGTCTTTTGGGAAATTAAGTTATACATTCACAATGAGGTGTTAAGTAGAATAGAATTTATTTTTTTAAGAGAACTAAAAGTACGTCTCAGCCTGCACTAGTGACAGTTAGCTTTGGCTTTCCAAATTAAGAAAGTTTAGCAGAAAAATGTGACATGAGGGCTAAAATTAAGTAATTACTATGTAGGTATTAAAAATGTGCTTTTTGAGGAGTTTTTTGCTAACGTACCCATTTCCAATAGCTTCAACTCTACAGATACATATTTTGTTGCAAGAGTTGAAAAATAGAAAAAGTCTTTGTTCTGTGTAGTCAAAAGCTTATTTGGATGTCGTCTCTGCAAGTATTACAGTTTGGAGCTCATATTGATGTCAAGGTTGGGAGACAATGTTTTAGAGATAGACTTGAGATTTTTAAACTAACTTATGAGATGATAGAAACTTATCTTAAATATTTCACATCTTTCCTCAGTAACTGTAAATAAAATAGCCTCAACTGCATTTCCCTGATGTATTTCTTTCCTAAGAAAAATTCTGATTTTCAACAGGGCAAATGATTTTATATTTCCTCAATAAAGATGACAGGTTACTGTTGTCACATCAGGCTTTCAGGAAAGTTTAGGACCAGGAGACTTCTACTACTTCCATGAGTAGCTGTTTGCTTGCCATTTATTGGGTTGGTGCTGTGAATTCTAGGTGTTCATGGCTGTTATGTGCTATGTTGCATTTTAATGGAAAATCCAATTTTTTAGGGCATTAAAACATTATTACTTGTCCTGTCCGTTCATCAGACTTGTTGGGTCTTGTATTAAATATGTGTATCTTCCTTTTGTTCTTCCCTAGTAAAAACCAATTTAATAAAAGTAAAGCAAACACTTAGAGATAGTATCCACAAGACTAGACATAACTGATAGAGGTGAATGGACTATTGAAGTTCATCAGTTTTTCAGCTGTGGGCCATCCTCTGCTTTTGCCATGTTGCAGCACATTTATCTTCCTCTTATATCTTTGCTTAAACCTTCTGGGTGGATAAAAGATGGCTCCTGCTTTGGCGAAGTTGATTCGTGTGTTGGTAGGGGAAAGGATGTGGGGGAACAGCTTGCCAGTGACTAGCTGACTGCTGTCTCTTCTCAGTGGAATGACTAAACAAAGCAAAACATGCTGGATTTAGCTGTCAAGTGGGACAGTCTTTCAGCTGCTGGCAAGCCAAACAAATGGGTTTATAAGATTTGGGGGTTTGGTTTTGTTTTGTTTTGTTTTTTTAAAGAATGTGCTTAGTGGTTACTTTCACTGATATTGATTGATTCCCAAATTTAAAACACTAATACCTTTTCTGTCATCTTGTGGGATTTTTTGGACTTTGTTTTGAAGGCGGAAATGGGGGAGGGATAGTATACAAACAGAGGTGGGGAAGTTTTAAGTGTGAAAACGATAAGGGACATTTTTACTTCATCTGGCAGTGAGATTTGTGTTCTGGGACAGGATTCTGTGCAGTGTCCCAGTTTCTGCCATTACAAGGAACCCTGTTGTTCAGTGGATTCATTACTGCAGTAGGATTTCATGGTGTAGAAGGACATAGTCCTAGAATATGGGATTTCTCATCAGACTTCTTCAGAGAAACCAGCTCAGTTTGAATCAGCT